TACTTGTCATTAAAATGGATAAAAGTTCTAGATACATCTCTTTTCACTCATTTTGATGACAAGTATTTCCGGACGGAGGGAGTAGTACGTAACTATATACACACTTACTAAACAAGTGTGTTAGATAATCTTATCTTGGTCTAATTAGGGCTAGGTAATTAGATTAGCTAAAGTACTAGTATATCCGGCAAGCTTGCATGTTGTCTCACGCTGGTTGTATTAGTCTTGTCCGTGTAGGAGTTGAACACCTTTGTATGTCCTAGTTAGGAGTCTATGTTAGAGTAGTCCGGCTAGGATTATAGCAGTAGTCTAATACAGAGTTGGTTTGTACCGGCCAGTCGTCCAGGTTCACGCATATAAATATGCGGGTATAGGGGTCAAGTGATATCATATTGTACTGTGGAGAGAAAAAGAAAATAAAAAGAACAAGGAACGACAGTGCCTTTAGCCAAAGTTTTTGTGTGCGCGCGTTTGTCGTGATCGGATGTGATCGATCCTGTTTGCGAATCCCGACAATTGGTATCAGAGCAAGGTTCGGATTTGAAGTCGCGCTTGCCCGGGGGTTGCGATCTGCTAGCACCTCGGGGCGGGCGATGAAGTCGCTGGGTGGTGCAACGACGAGGAGGTTCTGGCGATCGTCGCTCAGCAGAGCGACATGGAGGGAGGCAGCAGGCTGTCGTCAGCAAGGTGGCGGAAGGAGGTTGTTGATGGCAGGGGTGGTGCCGAGGTGCGGCACTGGAGCTCATCAAGATCGTCGTCCGGGGAGTCGGATGAGTCAAGGAGTCGTGCTAGTTTGCACGGTCAGTCATCGTTGCGTCTGTGAATCGCCGCCGTGTCCAAGTGCTCGTCACTGTGTGGATTCGTTGGAGTTGAAGCGGTGTGCACAGTGTTCCGTGAGTCATGCCCATGTCCTCATGGAGCATCCTGGTTGCGGCCAGTGTGGATTCGGTGTGATGCCGAAGGCGGACGGTGGTAGGCGAAGCTATCGTAAAGCGAGGAGGTGTGCGACCAGTGGAGAGTGGATCTACTGCAAGCAAGTACAAGGAGTATGATGCGGACCGGGTGCAAGGCAACGGCTAAGCAATGGCGGTGGCACAACATTGAAGAGCAAGGAGGTTCTGCATATTTTCAGGCGGGTCATACTCAGTGTACGGATATGACAATTGAAGATCAAGCTCAGCGTGTAGTGGGACAGTGACTAGTTAAGCTGAACGACGTGAAGACTGATGATGTGTCCAGTCTTGCACGTTGCACGCGTAGATGCGACCGTGTTGAGATGATAGTCCGGATCATACGCCAAAGTTTGGATCAACAAGTTACGGATGTACAACGAGTAAAGATGAGAAAGAGCATGAGGAAGATTCAAGATTAGGGAAAGACTGTAGATAATCTTGTCTTGGTCTAATTAGGGCTAGGTAATTAGATTATCTAAAGTACTAGTATATCCGGCAAGCTTGCATGTTGTCTCACGCTGGTTGTATTAGTCTTGTCCGTGTAGGAGTTGGACATCCTTGTATGTCCTAGTTAGGAGTCTACGTTAGAGTAGTCCGGCTAGGATTATAGCAGTAGTCTAATACAGAGTCGGTTTGTATCAGCCAGTCGTCCAGGTTCACGCATATAAATATGCGGGTATAGGGTCAAGTAATATCAGATTGTACCGTGGAGAGAAAAAGAAAATAAAATGAACAAGCCACGACACGTGTCTTTGGCCAAAGTTTTTGTGTGGGCGCGTTTGTCGTGTTTGGAAGTGATCTGTCCTGTTTGCGAATCCCAACAAAGTGAACATCATAGCTACCTAATTACATTGCTGCAGAAATACCAACGCTTCTGCTATCAGTGAAATTACTCTCTTCCCGAAAAAAAATATAGACGTGAAGGTCCACCCCCATCCCGACGTCAGGCAGCTCCTGTTCCTACTCAAAGCGGCGGGGTTGTTCCTCGTCTCAGACGACTCGGTCTGGTCGCAGTGGTGAGCACGCATAGAGGGCCGGATCTGCCCACTCCAGGACCTGCATCTTTTAGTTCTGGTGGTGGCGGCACGTGGTGGCGGTTAGTAGTAGGGGGCGTCCTTCTTGAGGTAACAAGAGCCGGTTTTCTCAGTTTTTTTCCCATATGCCTATACAAAGTAATCCAATTTTCTTTCTACCCCACCTCGTTGCTTGGTTCGTGTTTGCATACACAATGCAATCAATTTTCTAAGAAGAAACCAAAATAGTACTCCCTCCGTCCGGAAATACTCGTCGGAGGAATGAATGTATCTAGATGTATTTTAATTCTAGATACATTCATTTTTATGCTTCTTCGACAAGTATTTTCGGGCGGAGGGAGTAACTAATAAATGACTAACATGCCCTGAAGCCTTTGGTTTAAGTAGTAAATGCATATTTACGTATACTCCTATATCGATTCTTCTTTTCATATCACTCCTAATAATTTTGTGTGTTGCTGATAATAGAAATTGTCCGGAGAGCATAAGATTGTAATATAACTATATACACTGGCTATACTCTTGTAGGTTTCCAATCATGTATCTATCAAATGTATTAGAGTAGCATTGGTGTATGTGGTGGAAACTACATTTTAAAATCGGACGTAACATGTATTAGTCGTTTAGAGTGGAACTAATAACTAATAGTTAATATGTGGAATTTAAAAAATATGTTCCGTGTGAAATTTACTAAGTGCAAATATATTAGTCTATCGTATGTAATTACTTATGATATGAAGATGTACTGTGTATGATTGGTTTAGGAACATTTACAAAGATAGAACATATACATTCTGTTTAGGTATAGTAAGTAGATCTCATGAAGCACGATCTGCTTAGGCACCATTGTGTAGATTCCAAGTATGCGATATGTTTAGGTACATTTATGTTGAGCCAACACTTATGATTTATTTAGATAAAATTACAAATAGCCAATGAATACGATCTGTTTGGATACAGTTATGTAGATCTGAAAACTACAATCTATTTACGTAGGCTTATGTTGACTAACGGTTATGATATGCTAATACAATGATGGTCCATCGGATCGACAAGACAACTGGATGTTTGCCTTCTTTTACTTTTGGGAATTTCTAGCAATCTCTCTATGTTTCATATGTATTTTGTGCTTTTTATAGTATATAATAGACCGATCAGCCTCTCCATTGTTTTCCGCATTTTGTGCTTTTATAGTACATAATAGACCGATAAATCTCTCTAAGTTTTCTTTCATAATTTGTTCTTTCTATAGTATAGACCGAGCAGTCTCTCTATGTTTTCTTTCGTATTTTGTGCTTTTATAGTATATAATAGACCGAGTAGTCTTTCTATGTTTCTTCTGTATTGTGGTATTATAGTATATAATAAATGTATTAGGTCCATCCAAAAATAACCTAATAATACACTATAACAAATAGTTACATGAGTATTATGTAAGGACCTCATAAATATTATTATCGACCGTACAACCGTTCCTAGATAAAATTATTGAACCGCCTAATCTAGAATGCCCCTCTCCATGTGATTATGTTAACACAAGACACCATGATAGGTGGAAGCTTTCTTCTGGGAGACCAAAAAGGTTTAAATATCAAAGGGAAATCATATATCTATATCTATGTGTATGTGAAAATATTTTTATGCTCATGCAAACTATCCACATCATCAAATACATGCAAGCCATCTACATTTCATTTTTAATTCAAACTTGGGCGGGAAGGGAGTAGGATGGGGGTACAGTTAGGTCGATACACCTTGAGTGAGACAAAGCCCTAAGGGCGAGAGCAAACATCTCAGTTCCTTGGGCCGGGCTTTAGGGTCTGTTTGGTTTGCCCCCTAAGAAAGCTGCCAGGCAGGAATCTCAGGCGTTGGATTTCTCAAGCCTGAGGCTGAGATTGCTGCCTGGGCGAGGAGATGCCTGTATGACCTCCATCTAAACAGGCCCTTAAAGTCTGACCTCAACCTAAAAAATATCAATAGTGTCGTCTTCCCATTTTAAATTGTTTAATTAACTATTTCCAAAGCATATTAGTACATCATTATACCTATTTTTGATCAAAATCTATTGTTTTATCCTGTTCAGGCTTTTGGACCTAAAACTAGAGCCCGAGCCCTGCCCAAGCTGCCCATGCCAATATTTATTTCCTGGACATGCAAGCTCTCCATATATCAAAATGTTCTCTCTATGTTAGATTGTATTTACATGTGTATATTGTAACGTTGTATACCACCTCATTATATATATATGTGTGATAGGCCACCCCTAGAGGGTTGTGCCGGTTCCCCCCAAAGCCTATTGTCTTACATGGTATCACGCTAGGTTACGTCCGCTTCCGCCTAAAAACCCTAAACCGCCGCCGCCGCCGCCGCCGCCACCGCCGCCGTCGCCGTCGCCCGACTGCTATGACGTCCGCCGCTGCGTCCGGCTCCACCGCCACCGGTTTTCTGCCGGCCTCCCTCGCGGCACTTCTCTCGAGGCCGCTGGATGCCGCCTCCCTTCAGGCGCCGATCGGGACACGGAGCGTCGGCTCCCTCTTCGCGCTCCCGCCGGCTGCTACTTCGTCCGGGCAGGCGCTTGTGGCCCACACCGCCGCCGCCCCGTCAACCGCGGCTGTCGCGCCCTCGGCCACTGCGCCGCTGGTGGCGGAGGACGTCGCGCTGGCAGGCTTCGCGGCGTCAACCGCGGCCATCGCGCCCTCTGTCACCGCGCCGGCTGCCCCTCTGACTGTCTCCACGGTGGTCTCACCTCAGCCAGTCTCCTCGATGGCATCGCAGCCGCCGCCGCCGTTT